GAGTGAGAAGAAAGAGCTGATACCTAATTGGGTAAAACTTGACAGTCATATTTAAGGAAAGATTCATATTCAGGAGAGTTCTATTGCATAAAGTTTTACTCAAGAAATAAATATTGGACATCTGGATAAACCAAACTTGAAGAAGAATTCAATAAGAGATAAATCAAAAAAGGCTATCATGCAATCTTTACCAGATCAAGAATCTTCTCTAGTTCCAGAAGATACTAGCGAGACATCTTTCTCCCTTGTGATTTATCAGATAAACCTATTGTTCTTAAAAAGGGAACAAGGACTTGCACTAAGCATCCTATATCTAACTTTGTTTTCTGTGATTCTCTATCTCTTTCTTATAAAGTTTGTGTCTTATCTGTTTCCTTTGTGTCTATTCTACAGAATTGCAGAGAAATGTTAGGAGATCCCAAGTGAAAGGAAGGCATGATTTAAGAAATGTAAGCATTGATAAAAAGTGAAACATGGGAACTTGTTTCACCTCCACAGACAAAAAAGATAGCTTGTTGCAAATGGGTGTTCACTGTAAAACACAAAGCAGACGGATCGATTGAAAGTAAAAAGCTAGATTGGTAGCTAAAGAATTTACTCACACTTATTAAATTGACTATCAGGACACCTTTACCCCTGTTGTAAAGACGAACACAATTAGAATACTTCTGTCTTATATAGCTACCCTTAATTGGGATCTACAACAATTTGATGTAAAAAATGCATTCATCTATGAAGACTTATAGGAAGAGATATACATATAAATTCCACCTAGATTTGATGATAAGAGGACACAAGTAAAAATTTGCAAATTAAAAAATATCTTATACGGATTGAAATAGTTTCCAAAAGCATGGTTTGAGAGGTCTAAAAGAGATGATCTCTTTTGAATATTAACAAAATAATGTTGATCATATATTATTTATCAAACATCATGAGGGTAAGATCACTTTACTTATTGCTTATGCAGATGATATTGTGATGACTGGAGATGATATAGAGGAGATAGCTCAATTGAAAGAACTTCTTACTCAAGCGTTTGAAATAAAGAGTATAGAAAAATTGTAATATTTCTTGGGAATTGAAGTTTCCATATCTAATAAAGGGATCTTCATTTCTAAAAAAAAGTATATCTTATACTTAATGAGAAAAGACTGGTATGATGGGTTGTAAGCCAGCAAAATCATTCATTAAAAGTAATCACAAAGTACAAACAGATAGTAGGTACATCTTGAGAAAATATCAGAGATTAATTGGACGACTCATTTATCTCTCACATACCAAATCTGAATAGCTTATGTAGTTAGTCTGGTGAGTCAGTACATGTATGATTCTCGCGAAACTCATTTACATGCTATCTTCCGCATATTGCGATACCTGAAATCTACACTAAGAAAAGTTATGCTCTTTTCTAAACATGATCACTTTAACATAGAAGTATTTACAGATATTGATTGGGTTGGGTCTCTAAATAATAGAAAATCAAGTATAGGTTACTGCACACTCGTATGAGACAACTTAGTTACATGAAAAAGTAAGAAGCAAAATATAGTTGTCCGCTCCAGTACTGAAACAGAATATAAAGCAATAATTGAAGAAGTATGTGAATTACTATCATTGCAAAAACTAATGAGGGAATTAAAATTGCTCATAGAGAAAAGGCTATCCATGTTTTGTAACAAAAGTGAGCATGAACATTACTCATAAGCCAGTTCAACATGACATGACAAAATATATTGAAATTAAACGACACTTCATAAAAGATAAAATGTTTGATGGCTTCTTATTCTTTTATCATGTATCTTCTACTAATCAGGTAACAAATATCTTCACTAAATGACTATTCAATAAATCTATCCATAACCTAATTTGCAAGTTGGGCATGTATGATATCTTTGCACCAACTTAAGGGGGGGTGTTGGTAAAGATTCCATGTTAAGTAGAATACTATGCTATATAGGATATTTTATTATTTAAAATTCTAATAATAAAGTAATATCATGTAATTAAAATCCTTCTAAAATAATGATAATTCCCTATATATATTTTAAATGTAACAACACAAATAATAAGAAATAAAAAGAATAGAATATGTTTTTCTTTAAAAATCTTCAGACACAAAAGTGTCACTCACAAGGACAAGCCTACTTGATAAATCAACAAATGGAAAAGAAATGCTCCAGAATACAAAGAGTTCAAAAAGAAAACTAACGTTAAGAACTCACCTCAGATATCTAGAAAATCCCATAGGTACCAATCTATTTCTACATTCAGGAAAGTTCCCTACTTCACATTATTTAAATGTCTCAAATATATCATTTGTACATTCATCATTATAGACTAAGGAGTAATGGTTCATATAACAAAACTTCTCCACTATTTAATACATATGTTCCTTATCCCAGTGGCAGAAATATTTTTCCAAAAAATTTCCTGTCAAGAGGGACCATGCTAATCATCCTACAATGTTGGCCAAATGAGTGAGTTCGGTCTACGCCTGACCGGCTGCTCCTTGGTCGATACCCTCTCGGTCACAGTCCTAATGGCTACTCTGTGGCCAATACCCTAAGCATTGGTTCTCTGAGTTGTCTCTAGAGTAACCTATGCTCCAGGATATAAGAATTACCAATAATTCCAATTCTTTTAGTATTAATATTCCTATCATTTCTTTAAATATTATTAATATTCCTGTCCTATAAGTAATATTCCTAAACTAGTTTTGGTACTTTCTAATCTAGTTAGGAAAGGCCTACTTAGCTCTATTAATATGACTATAACCACTTACGAGAATGATTCAAGCATCTAATAATATATTTCAAGAGTTTGTTAAGTTTATAGTTGTGTGATGCAATCAAATCCTTAAGTAAAATGCTTAAAACTTCTTTAAGTATTATGTGCACAAAAACCTTACGTAATCTTGGTTTTTATCCCCATCCCTTATCAGACAAATTAACCCTATTTGTCCTATGTCAAAACCTTAGAGAAGAATGGAGAAAAAGAAGAGGCCAAACGAGAAGAGAAGAAAAATTTAGAGAATACGAGTGAGAATACAAATCTAAGTTTTCATAATGGCCCTCCATGCCTTTCATTTCCAACAAATGGTTATTACACTTTGATAAGTCAACAAATGCGGTTTGAACTCCAGGATATGGTTATCCAGGTAGCAGATACATAAGGTAAAGCTGTAAAATATCCATAAACATTAGAAAAAATATGGAAATTAAGGAAATACAAATAAATGTTAAACGAAAACTAGACATTTATTTAAGCACAAAGAGTAAATTGCCTCGTTAAAAGGACCTTATCCTCAAGGATCAAAAGTTCGGAAATTACAAATAAAAATCTTCACAGTCGTCCCAAGTGAGTTCAGCATGAAAGAGACCAAGCCCATGAACCAAAAGCTGCACTGTCAGGGCATTCGTAAACTTGATTAAGTATGTGATCGAGAATGGACTGGGAGAAGAACGAGGGGGGGGGGGGCGGGGGGGGTTGTTGGTGTACAAGATAGTTTATTCTAGATTAGAAGGTAGATAAAAAGTGGATTGTGTGCAGTAGCTAGTATCAAGAGTGACACGTGAAATATTGGGTGAATGGCCGCAGCAGATATGAGAGCAAGAGTGTCAGAAACTGCAGACGGAAGTGCAAGAGTGTAGCCAATTGAGCCCACTTCAGCAACCACCTGAAAAGGACCATATAGCGTGGAGCTAACTCAGGAGCATGTCATTCTGGAAGAAACAAAAACCTTTTTCGTGGATCATAGAGGCGGATTTACCATGGGAGGGATTCCCAAAGGTTCTTATGACCTTGCCTGGGAGTAGTGCGGTTAGCGTGGGACCTCTTTACAATGAAGGTAGGAAATCGATCGGAGGCTAAGGAGCGGGTCAATTCCTTTTTCCGGTCGTTTAAAGCCTTCAGTTTTTCAAATTGCTAAACAACAGCGGATGAGGCCGACAACTACATGAGGAGGAAGGAAGAAATTCATCCTACTTTTCTTTTTAAAAAGCGGGCGGTTAGGGCATGAAAAACCTATAATCTTCGCCCATCAAATTAGACTGGCCACTGACATATCGGACGCTTTTCAGATAGAAGTCCTCATTTTGATGTTTAGAGGTCGTTCTGCAAGGTACCGAAGTCATTTGATCGGGGAGAAAGCACACACGATCCATATATAGATAAATAGTACCAGTGGAGTCGGACGGTGCTAGTGCTCTCACTTACGGAAAAGGGGGCTCCCGCATCAGAAAGATGAGCAGTTTTTGAATCCTAATATCTTACTTATATGGCGAGTTTAAGATACATCCAGTCCCCAATACTTAAAAACCCTCTTTGTACAATGCTAGTCAGCATTAGCCTTCATCCAGTTGTGCCCATTTTGGATACATTGCACTATTGCTTCCTGATTGTGAAGCTGAAGATCAACTTCTTCTGCTTGGAATCATCTTGCAAATATGGGATGCGTACAGGGGAAACATTTAGGCCGCTATATGATTAGTTGTTTTCACTATAGTCGTCATCATTCTTGATCAGTAACCCCAAGTGTTAAATATCTAGAATGTGGTGACCATCTGCCACTGTGCTCTGTGAACTACTCTAATACCAATTGACACTAACCTCAGTAGATGACTGAACCCTAGAGAAAAGGGTAGAGGAAGAAAAGAGCGAGATGGTAGAGAGGGAAACAAAGGAAAATTACAGAGACAATGAGAAAGAACATGAATCTTCCTGGTAAATTTTCCCAACTCTTCTCCATGCTTTTCATTCCCATAAATAGGAGATTACACCTTAACAAAAAACTAATCATCCCTAGCTTCCTGATGTGTTTATCTAGGTGGCAAAGAAGGTAGAGCTGGAGAAAACAAGCAAGCAATAGAGAGAAGACGAAAAAAGGAAATACACGTAAAAGAGAAGCAAAAACAAGTAATTTAAGCAGAAAGGAAATTTGCAACAAAGTAATAACAATATGAAGTTAAAATGATTTTTTCACAGCATAACAAACTTACGTATGTGCTCCGATGGCTTGTAGATAAGGATGTTCAAAAGTCTTATCCTGCTTGACCAACCAAAAAAACCCATGGAGAAAAAAGGAACAATGTAAGCTTTTTTAAGGCAATGGCAAACTGACGGCCATGAGATAATTTAAAGGGAATAGCACAGCATTTATTATTTTAAGAAACAAATTATATCACTTCGTTACAATTAGCATCTTCACTATGCAAAAGGTAGATTAAAAAAAAAGGAGCTATAACCAAAAGGTGGATAAGCCATCCTCCTAAAAAAGGATAAGCAAAAAGATATATTAGAAAACCAAAACAAAAAGCAAAGAAACAAAAAGAACAATACAAAATCTCGAATTGTCGGAAAACAAATTCCAAAAAGAAACTGTGAGTTTTAGCTTACAAAAAAGCTAAGCACAGAATTTTATCTCAAAGATTGGTAAGAAAAGAGGAGCCTCCATGAAAATTAGAGCATTTCTCTCTACCTAAAGAACTCAAATATCTTTTTTCAACCTTATGAAAAAAAGGACCTGCAAAAAGCAGCCCCTTTTCAAAGCATGGAGTACTCTTTACTCCTTCCTTAAACAAATACAGCAGAAGAAATGAAGATATCCAAATTTGATGGAGACATGATTGATGCGAAAGGAGCAAGCAGAAAGAGCAATTAGGGCTCTCTAAACTTAAGTCAAAAGTATTGATTCTATTAAGAAACAAAGTCGAATAAAAACTCTAACCTCAGCATAAGTTTCGACTTCTAGAAATAGGAAGGAAGATCAGTATTACAGTTGCAGCTGTGAGTGAGGTAATCAAAGAGAGATTAATAGGTAATGGATCCTAAAGAGTCAAGGACCTAATTCTAGTGTTAAGGTTAGGAGACGGATGAAAAGAATCCAACAGGAGTGATTAAAATAGAAAGTCACAAATTTTCCAGCCACTGAGATTCCTAAAGTGGAACTTCCAAGATATAGAATTATCATGAAGGCAAGGGAAGCAATTTGAATTTTATTTCTAGCAGAAAGCCTTTAGCAATGAGGGAAAGAGATAAAAGACTATGATTTTCTTGATTTCTCAAGGAATTTGTTTTGTTTATTTTTACAATTGTACTTGTTTAACACATGGTTAACCAAATTACTGTATAAATAAATATGCAATGAATCAAAAGAAAAAGAAAACATACGGAAACCCACAGGCGTGCTATGTGTCAATGCTTTTGTAGCACACAGATAAAGAGAGAATAAACAAATGACTGGTGACAGAATAATCCAGACTATACTGCTTAAACTAAATAGGATGAGTACCCCTTGATCAAAAACAAAAATAAAAAGGATAACTACCCACTTGGAGAACATGATCTATTCTCCCTTCATCACTTCCAGTCAGCCTCTCCATCATTATAGAACCATAGGATCTCTCTTCTTTTTCTTCAGCCTTTTCTGCTCTCTCTGATGTACAGACAAGAAAAAATGTGGGCATAAGGATTTTTAGATAAGAATGCAATTAGATCAAAGTTACCCAAATGTTTTTAATTTATTCACGCGAACGATGAAGGAAAAGAGAGCCCTTTACTCATTGATTATTATTATGAGCAAATGGAATTCAAAGAAAAGCCATTCGTAGAATTCTTGTGAAATTCTTGATTACCTTCTAGGTTATCCATGCTTCTTGATTGGCAAACACTAAGCACCTTTGCCTGCTCAAACAACATAGCATTCAGAATTTCATTAGTTCTAGGTGTATCACCAGATACTCAACACCAAGTAATGGGATTTCCATTGTTTCAATAGACCAACTGAGACAATCCACACTCAGATCATATAAACTTAAAATTACAAAAGTAACAATGAGAAGCTATTTGAAGTCTATGATTTCCCAACTAGTATCTGCATGAGACCCACGGCCATATGCACAGTTTTAGGTTGTTTCTGAGTCGGTGGAAGAAGCTCTGTAATCTTATTACTGCAGCTACATTTTGGGTTTGAAAGAAAGGAACAAAAATTACTTCTCATAACAAGGATTTAGGGAACCATTTTTTTGTAAACGTACATGGGAGGCACCAAGGAGGATTTAGGGAACCTTTGTTTTTCTTTCGTAAACACATATAGGAGGCACCTCCTTGGTCCCTCTAAATGTCAACTCTTCTTATACTTCAAAAAAGTTCTAGAACCAGCAATGTCAAATGAGTCCAATACTAAAAAATCAAACCATTCCAGTGGCCAGAAGGTGGGGTGTGAGACATGCACCAAGACCATGTGTGGACTATTACTCTCAACAAAAAGAATTGAGTGGTTTCCCAACTTGATGGGTTTGATCGGTTCTATGCTAGCTCACAAGCAGCACAGAACAGTTATCAAGGTTTTAGAAAACTCTCCCTTTGTCATTGTTAGAGAATAGTAATATTTCCTACATAGACTATTAAAGAATAGTAAGCTATTTCCCTTGTAGCCTACTCCGTTAAAGTTAGTATCCTATTAAGGTGAATTATATCAAGGCCAATGTCTAATTTGCTTAGATTTTATTCTTAGTTTTCCTGTTCTTACTCATAGATATCTCCACACTTATTCAACATAATGATAGCATTTTTTTCAATTAATTCTTTTAGCATAATGTCAGATCAATATGTTGTAACGTTTTTAGTAGCTTCTGTTGGAAAGTGTATCTTAAGTATACATAGGGTAAAAGGAATATTAGCAAAAAACCTGACTATGTAATTAAATATAAGTTTTCATTTCTTATATCTAAGAACGTGTATATAGAGATTTATTATTCCATAATAAACAGAACTCCTCGTTCTTCCACTTGCCATCAGAGTTTTAGAAGAAAAATCATAACTCTTTCTATAAACCCTGATCGGTGTTGATCACCGAAACAAAAAAGCCTCCACAGCCAGCCACCATTATCATAACCGGTTTTCAAACAATCCAGCCTCGTGCCACAGCCCTTCTGTGCAATAACTGTCCAGCCATGCAGCCACCTGCAGTCCTCACTCCAGCCACACAAGCACCAGAGCTGCGTGCCTACACCAACAGCCCCGGAAGCTGCTATCTGCATGCTCAGAACGTCGCGTGCTACTAGAGCCGTGTGCTACCAGGAGCCAGCAGCTGCTGTTGCTATCTGCTCCAGCAGCTCCTTAGCCATGCAACTGGAGTTTTAGACCATGTTAGAGGTCACACCCCAAGCAACTAGCATGAACTTGGACATGCAAATTCGCAACAATAAACTGGAGAATTCAAAAAATTTCTGGCAATCAATCGCCTAAATGGAAAAAATTACCTGAAATAGTCACAACTGATTCGTACAATCTTCAAGGGAAAAAGAAAATTAACCAGATTTTGTGCACCGGACCAAAACCGGGAGACCCACAATTTGATGCACAGAATAAAGAAGATTCAATGACAATGACATGACTCTGAAACTCGACACTCCTAGAGATAACTAATACGTTTATGTTTTTACCCAATACGAGAGAGGTTTGGAAAAGCGTCCAGGAAAGTTACTCCAAAGTTAAAGACATGGCCCAAATTTATAATTCAATAACAAAGAATTGGTCTACATAGCAAAGGAACCAGATCAGTTACGGAATATACCAGTCTCCAGAAAATATAGATTACAGCAAAAGACAGCTATCCTAAAGAAATTTATGGAGAGTGATAGAGCATATAACAATTCATGGCTGTTCAATGAATTTGACCAGCGTGAGTTCAAATATTAGAGAAAAAAGAGATGTCATCACTGAATGAATTGATTTTTGTCTTCATTGCATAAGAGAGCAAGAGGCGTGGTATGGAATCTCACTCCAAATAAAGCACTACATGATTACCAAGGTTTCTGAACCACACCAACAGGTAAAGAAGCCAAGTCAACCTGATACACAAGCAACAAGTAGAGAAAACAGGGACAATATATAATGTACCTTATGTAATAAACCAAAGCACACCAAAGAGAATGCTAGAAACTTCTTGGAAAGTCCACCACCTCCAGCAAAGATTAAGGATACAAAAATATCCCATAGAGGCCTCATGAACAAGCACATGCGGCTAACCAATAAGGGGAAGAGAAGATTGCATATCTCAATAAGTTCAAAGCAGAGATCGAATGCTTAAAGAATTGACTTGAGGTTCTGGAGAAACCAACAGGTACAGGTTTATTAGCACGCGCAAGTACATTTTCTACCTTACATGGACTAAATGTCTCCAATGAACCATTTTCTGCCTCAAAGAGCCATAGATCACATGACCAATTCATCAAAACACTTTAACACCTATTTCTGGTGTCCAAGTAGTAAAAAGATAATTATTTCTGATGGTTCACTAACCACCAAAGCAAGTGTAGGAAGTGCCAAGATTAGCCCCCCTTTTACCTTACATATGTGCTTCATGACTCATAATATAATGATTTTTCCAGTCTCTCATTGTATTTTTAGGATTAGACCTCTGAAAAAATTATTGATCATGTTGAGGCGTCGAACACATCGTACTTCTTGGATGCACCTAAGATACCACGCCCTGCATTTTCGACTAGTTCTTTAGACAAGATCTGATTACACCATCAGCAATTAGAATACCCTTTTTTTATATTCTTAAGTTTATATTTCTCTCCTTATTTAAAGATCCCATCAATAGAAATCTGCACTACCATGAATGTGAACTAGCAAAACACAAACATCTAATTTTTCTCCTTAATAATAAAAGAAGCAATTTTCTGTCTAAATTGATTCTAGTAATATTTAGGGTCCTTGAAATATTCACAATACTGAGGTTAGATGGTGTTTGTTACACCTCATTCACCGCCCGTGCTAAATTATATTTGGAAAACTCTATTTATTTGGGTTTTAAGTTCACACAGAATTTATTTAATTTTATTCTGCAGTTTTATATCGTAATTCGTAAATTATATCGATTTTATTATTTTATTTTATTTTAGTTTTATTTAATTTTACCATATTTTATTTTATTTATTATTTTTATTTTTATTTTTTTAAATAAATAATTTTCAGGAGAAAACGAAAAAAAAAGGAAAAATCCCGCGGGAGAGAGATTACCCGCGCACTATGCCCATGCGTGCGCGTGGGACAGGCACAAGACGTGCGCACAGTTCACACGTCCCATCTGCGTGAGGCGTGGGGCCAGACCTGCGTGCGCAGACAGGACTGGCACTGCACACTGTGCGCGCGCCTTCCGTGCAGCAAGCCTACGCGAATAGGCCTGTGCGCACAGCACCCCAGCGCGTCGTAGGCCCTGCGCATGCATAGGCTAACTCCTGCACATGGCAAGGTAGCCCGGCGCCTGCAGGCTAGGCCTGCAGTGTGCGCCGGTCGGGTGAGGCACACTGCCACCTCGGGCAGTGTGTCGCCGCGCACCTTGGGCGGCGTGCTGCCGCTTGGGTTGTGCCGCCGCCGGTGGAGGAGGATTCTCCTCTGTTTTTTTGTTCCACGTCGAATCAAGGCATCTCTCCCATTTCTTC